CAATTCACCCCTCGAGGGAGATCACGGGTTACAACCCTAAACCTACACTTCAGCCGCACCGTCGCATGGGCCCTCACTTCAGCCCTCGAGGGAGATCACGAAACTGGAGTCGCTTCAGCACTGGCGACGTCCGTGGACTAAACCTTAACACTAGCTAAGGCTATCTCCCCATGGGGACCCAATACCAAAGTCTGACAACACCACACGCCTGGGTCAAGAAGCGGTGCAGGATCCCTCCACATAGAACCTGGAACACCATGTGGTTTCCAAGGCCCGGCTACAGCTGCCCGAGAGGATTCCTGAGGCCTACCCGACCAGTGGCCCATACACTTGTCTGGCCTTGGAACCCAAAGACTAATCCTGACCGGCACCCTCCCTTGTGCACTCCACTCAGCCCTTAGGGGAGACAACTGCACTGCTGTGGGTTCAGCACCTGGAGTCTCCTGGGACCTAACCCTAATCCTAACCCTAACCTTAACCCTAACCCTAGTCTTCTGCAGAGGGTCAAGGGTCAGTTCCCAGGTCTGAACCAGGTGGCCTCAGGGATGAGGCTCTGGCCTTGGAGTCGCTGCTGTTGCTGCTACATCGCAGCTGAATGTGGCGTGGCTATTTGTCTCTGACGCTGTGAGAGGGAGAAGTTCCTCTGGCAGCTAGGAGTGAGACATGAGAGGAAAGAGCTGTGTGCCTGTCCAGAGCAGCCGCCTGTGGTCAGCAATTCTGGCCTTTTACCGATTGGAGATTCCCATCCAAAGTCCTGGATTCACCCAAAATTGGGCTATTAAGTATATAAACTGGGCCACTTCATTCTACAAGTCTCAACTGTTAAAAAATAAGGCTAACAGAAAAACTGGGGAGCGTGTTTATGTCTCTGACACAGAAGGAGTCCATGGGCTGGTAGAGAAGCCCTAGGAGCTGTCCAGGTGCTGAAAATGTGTTGAAAGAGGATTATAGTTTTTTTAGTCACAGCTCCTGCCCTCTCCGTCTAAATCCAAGTGTTCAGAGTGATAAGGGCATAGATGTGTCACCACTGCTACTAATGAGTGGGGGAAAACTGCCCTCTTATATCAGGGTGGTAACCAACACTAAGACTTATAATAATCTTGTTTTTCAATTAGGATTTTATGTTGTTGCAGCTTAAAAAGGGACTCATTTGGGAAATGAATGGATGCTGTTAACTTAGGAAAATTCACTTGAGCAGAATTTTCCTTTTTTGAATATGAAAATTCTCAAAATATACTACAGAGCGTGACATAATGAATACCTACACGCAAACACAGACTTTGCAATTATTATAAATTTGCCATGTTTGCTCGACATCTTCTATTGTGAAAGATTGTAGGTTATAGACATCACAAGACTTCACTCCTAATTAATTCAGTATGCACCTATACCAAAGGAGACATGATCTCCTACAAAACCACACTAGCATTTGCGCATAAAAAACTTTTTAAAAAAATTCCTGCATATCTTCTAATAGTCAGTTAGGAAGGGTTTTTCAAAAGACAATTAACATCAGAAAGTGGGGGAAATATCGAGCATTGAGAACAGGCCATGAGAAATGATACTTCCATGGCTAAGAATTTAGGAGTTTCAAAGAATCAACAGAAAAATCCCCTTTGTAAAAAGAAAAGAGGAACTACTGTTTTTCCATGAAACTATAAGGATAACCCTACAATTATGTGTGTGAGAGCTTGCCTGTGTCTCTGCCTGGTGTACCAATATGTCCTAACTTTCCTAACCTGTAAGAACCACTGGGCCCAAGAAACTGTATCTCTGCTTTCTCATTGATGCATACCAGCATGCAAAGTGTCCGGGTGGTGGTTACTCAAACAGTAAGCAGACTGTGACTTTTATGCCTTTTGAGGACTCTGGACACAGATCTGGGCAATATAGCACTCTATTTTCACGGCTGTGGTCCTGAGGTCTTCAGGAAGCACCGAGGCACTCTCCCACTCAAAGCCAGCAACAGGGCCCTCGGCTACGTCCTGCTCAACTCCCCCACCTTACAGTTCATCAGCCTTCCCGACACAGCCACCCTCGTGCTCCAGCAAACCGCATTTGGAGTGGTTTCTATCGTGGCTGTTTGCACTGTTACGGCCCAAACCATCACTGTGGCCTTGGTCTTCAGGGTCACTGCACCAGGGAAGAGAGGGCGGCTCCCTGAGCCCCAGCTCCCTGTGGGCTCCGGCTGGGAACCTCGCCCCGTTCCCTGACACAGACACAGCCCGAGCCTGGGTATGTCCTCCTCCTGTGCAGCAAGGGCTCCGTCATTGTCCTCTACTGTGTCCTGGAATGCCTCGGCTCTGGGCCCGGGGCTCCATCACTGCCCTCTACTGTGTCCTGTGATGCCTCAGCTCCCGCGCCCCGGGGCAGTTTCATGGTGGCTTTCCTGACGCTTCCAGCAAGTTCCTGACATCCAGCACGCTGGCGTTCTGTGGCATCCAGGCCACCCTCCTGCCTGCCTCCCATAGCACCAAGGGCAAGGTCACGGAGGCCAGAGAGATGGTCTCCATCCGGGGCTTCAAGGCTGCATCTGTGCCCCCAGGTGCTACATTATCCCCCTGAGGCCTGGCCAGAACACCCCAAGAGGGGTGTGGCATAAAGACATCTTCTATGGGCAAATAAACATTAACAGTTAACAGTAAGTCACCCATTTGGCAAATATTTAATGTTTTTTAATGTTTCTTCTCATTTTTGAGAGAGAGAACGAGAGAGAGAGGGAGACGCAGAATCTGAAGCAGGCTCCAGGCTCCAGGCTCCAAACTGTCAGCACAGAGCCCAACGCAAGGCTCCCAACCCACGAACCCTGAGACCATGACCTGAACCAAAGTCAGACGCTTAACTGACTGAGCCCCCCAGGGCCCCTGCACTTGTTCAGTACAAAAGTCAAACTCACGGGTCACCTGGGTGGCTCAGTCGGTTGAGCGTCCGACTTCGGCTCAGGTCGTGATCTCGCGGTCTGTGAGTTCGAGCCCCGCATCGGGCTCTGTGCTGACAGCTGGGAGCCTGGAGCCTGCTTCGGATTCTGTGTCTCCCTCTCTCTCTGCCCCTCCCACGCTCACGCTTGGTCTCTCTCTCTCTCTCTCTCTCTCTCTCTCTGTCAAAAATAAACATTTAAAAAATTTAAAAAAAGTCAAACTCACTGCTGACAATGTCATTGAAAAGGTGAGCTCTGGATGCTCTGCATCATTTGAAGGCACCAGCCTCTTGGACGCACGCAGGGTCCACCACTCGCAGTGCGTGCCGCTTCTTGAGCCACTGCTCTGGCCCAGGCCCCAGGTTTGCCTCAACTTCATTTTCTGTTTTCCCCAATTACAAAAGCCTTCCCTATACTAAGATTTTGATCATGTCTCCTTTTTAAAAGCATGCACTTCTCACGGTTAGTCTCCATCTATTTTACGTCTATTTCACTTTGGTGAATGGTGGGGAGTCGCCATTCCCGGACTGAGTAGGAGCTGGTTCCGAAGCCCCAGGTGAGTGACCACAGGGGAAGAGTCAGGACAAAGGAGCTGCAGCTTTGTGAGCCCTCCAGGAACGCAGGATGTGGACAGACTCAGAGCCCCAGGAACCCCAGGTATGTCGGTTAAAGGTGGGGACTTCCGAGATGGGAAGATTTAAGGGCAGGGTCCCAGTCAGTTGGAGGGGATCACCAAGCAGAAAGGGGGATAAGGAGCCCAGTGCCAGGCCCATGCCCCACGTGTGACCTTTCAGGCTCCACCATAGGAGGCCTGGGGTACAGCTCTGCAGATTCCGGCCCCTCTGACTATACCTTAGCCATAAGTGAATTTCTTCCCAGCAGTTTCCATTTGAGGACCTCTATTGGGGGAGCAGGATGGGGGAGGGGTGCTTTCAGTAGAGGCCTCCCTATTGTGAGGGGAGAGCCATGAAGACACCTTTCTCCACTGACTCGGCACTTGGGGTTTCCCCAATCCTAGCCCTCCGCCTGGGCCCAGACACCTGCAGGAGCCTCGTGCTGCTGCACCCGACCCCTGACCCAAGCACCGTGCCATGGGGAAAGTGCACCAGGCAGCTGGTGCATTCTCCAGCTTCCCCTTGCTGATAGGACCAGAGGAAGCCAGTAAAGGCCTGGCTGTTACTTTCATTTGTCTTCTTGACTAAATGGATTCATAGACAATTCTTTCAGTTTCTGGACCCAATTTCAACATCCAGGAAGTGCCCCTCCTCAAAAAAAAAAAAAAAAAAAAAAAAAAAAAAAACCACCACAAAGCGATTCTTGGACACCACTGGGGTATCCAAGAACTCAATTCTGACACTGTCTACCTCAAGACAGCATCAGATTCTACAGGTTAAGGACTCTGTCCCACCCCCCACTTCAGATGCCAGTCACAAGCCCCAGGCTGTTACCTGTGCTTCTAACCCACTGACTAGACCGGAAGGTCCCAATGACCTCCTCCTTAGGGTCTCTATTTGCTGGAGTGGCTCACAGAAATCAGGGAACACTTAGGTTTGCCAGTTTATTAAAGGGTGTGATAATTATAAATCGACAGCCAGATGAAGAGCTACACAGGGTGAGGCCAGGGAAAGAGGGTACCACTCTCCCCGCATCTCCAAAGGGCAACATTGCCACCAGCCACTTTGACTCCTGAGCTCAGCTGAGCCCCAAGCAAGGCAGTGTCTCCCCCTCTGCTGTACGAACAGTGCTCAGAATGGCCATAAGGGATAGAGACTATCATCAGTTGTCGAGCAAACACTCTATTTTGCTCAAAGTCCACATATACATTACACTTTACAAAAACAGCATCTAGCTGGGTCTCTTGGTCCCCCTCTAATCCAACAAAAGGGAGAAAAGAGGACAAAGTCCCTCTTTTAAACGCTGGGGCTGCCCTGTGCACCCCCAGACCCCTGGTCCAGTGCACAGCAGGCAGGGTTAGTGGAACGCCCACCAGTGGCCAGCACAGGGCACCTGGAGCCCTCACCACCAGGCTAGCGGAGGTCCCCGCCAGGACCATGAACACGCAGATGCACAGAAGGAGCCCGCCTCAAGAGGAGGAGACCGGGTACCCATAGTGGTTGCGGTCAGCTTCACCCAGGGTCAGCGTCAGTGACAGGCTGGGCTTCCGTCCCAGCTCCTCCTCCTCCAGGCAGCGCCGTGGGGGCCGGGACTTAAAGAAGTCCGAGACGTAGCGAACCTAGGAGACAAGACAAGGGCTGATGGGGGCAGGGGAACGGGAAGGTCGTGGGGGGTGAGGGATGGGCTCTGAGGGGGAAGAGTGGAGTGGGGAGGGCAAGAGGATCCCCCCACCCAGGGTGGGTCTCCTGACCCAGGAGCTCACCGTGAGGCCGGCCACCAGTGCCCCCTGCAGGAGGCCAACAAGGACATCACTCCAGTGGTGCTTGTGGTCAGACACGCGGGTGTAGCCGACGTAGAGAGCAAAGGCCAGCAGGAAAAACTGCACTGTGGGCCGCAGAAGCCGCGCCCACTTCCAGCAAAGCCGCGCCTGCACGTAGAGCTGGGGGCCGGAGGGCAGCCATCAGCCCAGGAGCCCGCTGGGCTCACCCCACACCCAGGGCACAGACGGGAGTGGAGGCCAGGAACACAAAGCCAGCAGGCCGGGAGCCTCCAGTTTCTAAGAACAAACCAGTCACCTCGACCCATCACTACCTCCCCTTCCCCCTTTTGCAGAAGGAGAAACTGAGGCCCAGTCCCACAAGCCAATCCTGGGAAACAGACTCACCGCCAAGAACATCATGCAGTACATCCCAAAGGAGGAGTGTCCAGAATAGAAAGACAGTCTAAGAAAGGAGAGCACAGGTGTCAGGAGGGGCTGCACAGGGAACAGAGCCCAGGGCCCAGGCTCAGAGACTGGGAAGCTCACTACTGACATCTCTGCCTTCGAAGTCCCCGGGCCCCTGGCCCCCAGCCCCCTGTGTATCCCACAGTCTGGGACCCAGCATAGGGAGGGTTTTATGGGGAGACGTGGCCCCTTTTCATTTCCCTGACCACACAAAACAAAGTCTCCAACTGGGGCTCACAGTCTTTAACAAGGATACCGTAGGCCACAAACTCAGAACCAGGGCAGACAAACAGATAACACCACAGTTTGGGGATCATTTCCCATCTGTGGTTCTTGATGCAGGAATTAAGCTCAAGGTTTAGCAAAAAGGACACCAGTGGACAAGAGAATGGCAGATTAAGGAACTCCAAAGGTCCAGCCCTCCATAAACATAATGAAAACACTCGTACGAACGGAATCACACTGGCAGTGGCCACCACCAGGACTAGCAAAACAGACCTCTTTGCACGGATTTGTGATCATCTGGACCCATCTGGTGGATCTGCAGAGCTACGCCACTCTCCTGTGGCCGACGCAGCTACCTGGGGAATTGCTCTGAAGCCTTTACAGCAAATGTCGGTCACTGCTGCCCAGGGCAATGCGTGGCAGCCGAGGCACAGGGACCCACCAGGACGCTCAGGAAAGGAGCCCTTGGCTCTCACCTCTGGCTGACCTTCAGGTGCTGCGCAAACAGGAAGCCTGCCTGAGCTCGGAAGGCAGGCCCCGACACAGCACACACAGCCCATCGGCAAACTCAGAGAGAGGTCTTTCTCCCAGTGCCAGATGTTTAAGGAAATCTCTGTCCAAGTACTAGCTGATCGTGCAGCTAACAGAAAGAACTTCATGGCCACACATGACAAAGAATACAGAACTTACAAAATTAGTTCAAAAGGTCGCTAACCAACAGACCGACAACTGCAACAAACAGCAACGATAATCGCTGGGTGGGAGAGCACAAGATATTTCCAGAGTTGCTACAACATTAAAGATGCCCAGTTCTCAACCAAATAGTCACAAAGCATACAGGGGGAAAAGTGTGGCCGATACACAGGGTGAAAAGAAATCTGTTAATAGAAGCTGTCCCCAGGATGCCCAGGTGCTAGACTTACTGGACAAAGACTTTTCTCTGGCCATTTAAAATCTGTTCAAAGAGGGAAACAATGTCTCACTAAACAGAGAATATCAACAAAGAGACAGAAGTTATCCAAAGGAACCAAACAGAAATTCTGGAGCTGAAAACAGTAAGTAGTATGTGAAATGAAAAATCACTAGCAGGTCTGAATGGGCAGAAAGAACCGTGAGCATGGACACAGGTCAACTGAGACAATTCAACTGGAGGGGCACAGAGTAAGAAGGGAGAAAAAGAGGTAGGCACCCGGGATGCCCACACACACGGGGGAGCCCAAAGAGGGGAGGAGAGACAGACAGGGGCAGAAAGAGTATTTGAAGACATAATGGCTGAACACTGCCCAAGCCGGATCAAAGACACGAATCTACACATCTAAGAAGCTTGAGAACTCGAACGGGAGAAGCTCAGAGACACAGCGTAATCAAACTGCCAAGGACAGTCAGCAAGAACCGTGCACACGGCAAGAGAAGAGACCGCTGTGGTACGAGGGTCCTCAGTACGATTAGCAGCCAGTTTCTTGTCAGAAGCCATGGAAGCCAGAGGCAGTGGGGTGATACTTTCAAAATAACCAAGAATTCTAGGTCTGGCAAAATCACCCCCTAAAAATGAAGGAGAAATTCGGACATTCCCAGATAAACACAAACCGAGAGAATTCATTACTCAAACACCCACCCTATAAGAAATTCCAAAAGGGAGTCTTTCCAGGAGAAATGAAGGGTGCTAGACAGTTAGCTCAGGCTCTCACAAAGATCTGAGATACACGAGTCAAGGTAGTTACACAATACAACCATCAGTATTCATGTACTTGAGCTCGTAATTCCTGATTTTTTTCTAACAATTTTATGGGATGCCTGCGTGGCTCACTTGGTTAAGCATCTGACTTTGGTTCAGGTCATGATCTTGCAGTGTGTGAGTTCAAGCCCAGTGCTGGGCTCCATGCTGACAGCTGAGAGCCTGGAACCTGCTTCAGAGTCTGTGTCT